AGCGTCAACCATTTCTGGCCGGCAACTTTCAGCGTCATTAAGCCGCTGCGCCACCGCGTCCCCGGATGAGGTCCATCTCCCTTCAAAAAAGAATTATTTGATCTAGTGTTTCCAGAACCACTTCAGCATTTCCAGAACCAAAAATGCAGTTTACCTGCTCAGCAGAAATCAAAAGGATCTCATGTCGAGCTTTCTCAATTCCTTCCTTGGTGCCAGTGATCTTGATCTGGTTGCTGGGGTCATCCGGGCGGGGGATCTGGATTTTTGTGGCAGTTTTGAGCTCAAGGTCCTGTAACTTCTCTCCATTTTTTCCGATGACAAAGCGATGATGCTCTTTGGGAATAGCAACTGTTGCTGAAGCCTATAGAAAAAAGCATGTACTAAAGTAAAACCACACTTTAATTCAACAACACAAATGCATTTTCATCAACCAATTCAGTATAGAATTTTGCTTTAAAATGTGATAAGAGAGGAGGGAATCTCTCCTATGATATTATAGAGTAGCAATGGAAAAGAGTATTTGTCAAATTTTACTGCTACAAACAAGTATTAGGGATATAGGGTTTGCCCATATCACTCATTTTAAAGAGCATTTTAAAAAGAGTATTCTGACCAAGAATCTAAAAGCAAGGCAAAGGCTGGGTTTCAGGTCACAAAAACAGAAATACTTATTTGAATCCATAATTCTAAGCTCAATTTTCTAGTATGATCTCTTCTCCAATTTGAACATTTGCAATTAACCCCCTGGTTTTGATTTTGAGATGTGGGTAAAACACTGAAAATTAACTCAGCTGTTTGAACAAACACTATTATGCTTTAAAAACATGTCTACGTGACAGCATTCTCATTTTCAAAATCAGTGTTGAAGCAAGGAATAAAAATGTGACAAAAGAATCATATGCAAGTTTGAGACATCTTATGTTTACTTGTAAATTACTTTAAGAATCCTCATTTAAAATAAATTTAATGCGCATCTAAGGTAACTGATCAAACCATGACGCCCTTGCCTCTAGATTATATTACTTTATAAGAACACAAGTCCATCCATACCAGCTTTCTGTTTCCAATAGTAATACTACAAGATTTAGTATCTCTGCATATAGAATGTTCATTTAACCAACAAACCTACTTTCATAAATTGGCCTAATCCTTTCTTAAAAACGAGATAGCCATTAGACTGCATTTTGTAAGAGGAAATACTGCAAGTTATTTATGTATTCTATGTACTACCTAATGCATTCTTTCATCTATTCTGAATTTATCTCTCACTAAGAGACCCTTAGGATTCTGACCGAAGAGGAACAGAAGGAATTTCCTTTTCCATACCATTCTTGGATTTTATCAACTTCTATCATAGCTACTTCCTTGCTTACCCTTTCCTAAACAACAACAAAAAAGCCTGAATACTTGTAACTACCATTATGAATTATTAAATAATTTAGTAATGCACAACAAATTTAAATGTTTCAAGTATATTCTGCCTCCACTTTGGCAATATTTTAGGGCAAAATCTCCAACAAGCAGACTGTGTGCAGTATGGAACATGTCTTCTGAAATGGCACCTGTAACAGAAGCAATATCTTTCCCAAGGCAATGCAGAGAATCTGATCCTGCCATTCAATTTCCAAGAGAAAAAGAATATTGTATATAGTTCTGCTATATAGTTGAAATCTTTTCTTCTTAAATTAGACAGAAGCAATACGTTTTGCCAACTTTGCCAACAAAGACAGAATCTACTCTTTTTTCTATCATAACACTAATTTTCAGGAGGAGAAAAGTTTGCATTCCCCAAAGAATCCGCTTTTACTATGATAACATAAACTATACTGAACATCCTGAAAGAGCCAGCAATACAGGTACATTCCATGACTATCACTAAATTCATGCTCTTCGAAAGTCATTACTTGCCTTAGAGTGGCTCCTGGCAAGGTATATGGGAAGGCATGAAATAGAGCCATGGACTGGAAGAAGCACTTGAACTTTATTTTATGGAAATCCTGGCATTCTTTCAGCCTACTTTTTGGGTTCTTAAGATGCAGTACATATATGAGTTAGTTCACAAAATGAACTAGCTTTGGCTCTATGGGCACCACGCCTTGAAATCTCCATTGCAGAATAATGTCATATAAGGAGAAACAAATCACTCACCTGGGTCTGAAGCCGAGCTACAATCTCCTTCCGAGCTTTCATCACTGCTTCAAGCTTGCCAGAGACCATTATTGATAGTCCCTGATCTTTTGCAAGAGATAGCTCCAGGTGAGCCCCTGTCTTCTGCATGATGTCTAAGCAGATTTTGGCTTGCTCCCCTTCCCCAAATTGGTTCATATCCTTGTACTTCCTCTCCTCTAGGGGCACATGGAATACCTGCTCGTGTGAAACAAATGTTTGTTCAGTTTGAAACTTCAAAAAAGATATCCTCCCTCTCTCAGTTCTGCGGTCAGTTCTACAACAAATAATTTTGCTGCAATCTTAAATTATTTAAATCTTAAATCTTATTTGGGAGCAAATTCTGGTGAATTCACTTAAATTTACAGGACTGAATTTCTGGGAACAAAATGTTGCATAAATACAGAAACGTACTATTCCATCCCCCAAAGAAAATACATTTAACTTTTCAGTTTAGGTTATTTTATAAGGCTAGCTGTTCTACATATTTTAATACATTAGCCTAGGAGTAATGCTGTAGCACCTCAGTTCAAAGACACAGTGTCATTCACTAAATGGGACCAATACACAGAAGATGCCTCACTCTACAACTACACAATTCTCCAAAACTGCATGACAGCTATAAGCTGGCCTGTCCCAAGGAAAGGCCTCAGGCTTACTCAATCAGCTCGTCTGCTTACATTTTCCCTCCCACAATACTATGCCAATGAGAGAGGTGACTGAAAGAATCCTGAAGGATTTTCTTTCTAAATGCCTGAACAGGGTTTCACACTGAAGAAGAGGAGAAAACACTCTTTGTATTGACCTGAGTGATAACAGAAGCCTTGATTGGTCGGATTTTACTCCAGGCACCAGCAGGTTCCTGGGCTGGCTCCAAACATGCTTTCTCAGGGAGAGGGGGGAAGGCATCTTTGTATGTTGGAGGATCATTCTCTTCTTCAGCATTTAAAGCTGTAACTACAGTGGAGAAAGCAAGGAAACAAAGAATGATTTTACAGACAATAGTCAGCAGATTATACTAACTCTCCCCCACCTTCTGACTGTTAACATACTCTTAATTTGTTGGTTAAAAATACAGACCTCAATACATTATTGAGAAGCACCAAACTGAAATAAAGCTGTTTTCTACTTACTAATCCATCAATGATAATTTGCCTATCAGGAGATAAGGAAAACTACATGTTTTACAGATAAACAGAGTTCATCAAGAGAAACCTATACATACAGTCAGGTCCAGAAATATTGGGACATCGACACAATTCTAACGTCTTTGGCTCTATACACCACCACAATGGATTTGGAATGAAACAAACACAATGTGCTTTAACTGCACACTGTCAGCTTTAATTTGATGTACATCCAACTCAGGTGAACGGTGTAGGAATTACAACAGTTTGCATATGGGCCTCCCACTTGTTAAGAGACCAAAAGTAATGGGACAGAATAATAATCATAAATCAAACTT